AGCCCCCATGATCCACTCAGAATGTAACATGCGGCTGTTTATCTCTCATAATAACAGATCTGGTTCACATCCACTCAACATCTGCCATGTAAGCACGAGGTCAGATTTAATACATGTTAATTTTTGCTCATTAAATTCTTCCAATCTCTTGCCAAGGTTCTTTTTTGGGGGCCTTCTTTTGATCTTGAATTTATTCCAGGTTAACCATGTTATACTTCACGTAATATTGCACCTAGAGCTGTCATCTCACAAAAAAAAGGAGAAAGAAAATCACAACCACAGAAAAAAATCACACATCAGCATCATTAGGTCTAAATCCACACAATTACACATCTTGACACTATTGTGTAATGATCCTATGTCAGCCGCTGACTCCCTGACCTTATATTCCCATTAATAACAGGATGCTGTGTTTGCTTCACGTGTGGTTTCCCAAAGTGTTATTAATTGATTGTTTCTGTAACATTCACTGAGCTTAGCAAGACTCAGCTGGTGCCTTTGTGGAGCCAGGTATGGCTGGCTGTGAGCTTAAGAACCTCCTTAATGTATTATTCATACCCATTTGACCTTAAAGATGGAAATGCAAATGTGTGTCAAGAATGAGAGGGATCATTGGACTTTTCAAATGTCAAAGAGGCTGCCACAATTAAGACATATTCATTACATGGACCCACAGGTCCCCCACACCCAGCTGAGATGTAAAACACCTACAATTAACATTTGGATCATTATCTCATCGTTCCAAAGCTGCAGCACAGGCTCAACTGTGATTCCTACAATGTTGTAACAGCAACCAGTGCTCAGCAACAAAGCTTATTGAGTTTGATGTTAATCATCTTTACTTAACTCTTTCTAAATATGGGATATTTTACAATCCTCCCTTGGCTCTTTCTGATATATCAACACTGCCATCTGCTGATGAGGTTAAACACTGACACAACTACCTCTTCTGGAGTAAGTACCCCTGTCGTGTCAGAGTCTAACCAGAGGGCGGCAGCACCAACACAAATGTTAATGTGCGGCCCTCTCACTGTGGTGCTAAGAGACAAAAGAACCCTTCATAATAATAGATTAAAATAATGCCCATACATTATTCACCTTTTTACCTCTACAAGTCCATGTCAGTTTGTACAATGGGGGTGGAAACAATAGGAGGATGTCAGCCTCACATACAGAAGCATATACAGTATATCTGAATCTAAATATTTATCTCCCTTTGTTTCAACATGTGCCATTCAAATTCATCTAAATAATGAGGTGATGGTGTCGTCTGGCTGGATGCCTGTCCGTACCAAGATTCACAGACAGAAATAAATCGAGTGGGTCGAATGTGCAGACATGCATTGTTTTACTATGTGCAGGCTCTGTTTTACTTTGTGCAGCGTATATGTGCAGACACAGGGACTCTGCATCTTCTCTGTTAGGAGAATTAAACACCATCACGTGGGCAGAGGTGGGAAGTAACGAAGTACAAATACTTTGTAACTGTACTTAAGTAGATTTTTCGGCTGCTGTACCGGTAATCAGAGGCTGACTTAACCATTAGGCAAAGGTCGCCAATTGCCTTGGGCCCCAAACTACCAGGGGCCCCATAAAGAACCTAATAAAGTTATGGATTATTTCGGAACTTTTTCGTTAATTAATCATTTCTCCCTAAAAATCCAAACGCTAAAACGGCACCAGAATGCCTGTAACAAGAAACTAGTGTCTCTGCAACCCCCCTCCATAATGGACTATTCCGTGTCCACGGAAGTGATTCAGAGTGTAAACAGAGACTGACGAGAAGTGTTGAGTCAGTCCACACGAGAGAGAATCAGTTCAGTTCATTTGTTCCGTCTGTGTTGGGAATGTTTAGATGATGATCATGGGTTAAGTTATTAATCGATGGTGTCGGATCATGAATCCCTGTTGCTCCGGTCCTGACAGTGTGTCGTCTCTCAAAGCTCGTGTTTCATGATGTTTAAATGCAGCCTCATAAACTCTGGAATCAAACACACGCTGAGTTACTTCATGTACTGATCAGGTCCTGATAACTAGTAATGAGTGTTTATTAGTTAGAGAAAGACAAAGAGAAATGGTAATCTAATCATTTTTAAAAGTATATTTAAAGTTATTATTTCTGTAACTCCATAATTGACCTCCTATTTCCTTGTGTGTTATCTTCTCACTTAATTAAAACAAGATATGACCGAGGCCAATCATCAACTTAATCAGAGATCCTGCTGAAAACCAAGGTTATAGATGACACATCTTCCATGTGAATGGACAATAGGGTTCATTCTTATTATACAGGGATCATATTGTTCATGAAAATAAGATTTTACTATGAGCGCATTTGTTAAACTTAATATGTTTTGTTGGGTTGGGAAGAAGTTACAAGCAGAACCTTCTTAGATAAATAAGGATTGGAAAAGGTGGAGAACAACGTATGCAGAGGGCCCCATGCCTGTGTTCGCCTTGGGCCCCCAAATTGCTAAATCTGCCACTGCTGGTAATGATCCCTCATTACAGGTTCACGCAGGTTCACCTACAGAAACCTTGTTACGACTTTTACTTCCTGTAGATCGTCAAGTATGATTGTCTTCTTGGTGCTCTGCCAGGACAGTGACAGACCATCAGATGTGAGTACTTTTGCCACCTCTACACGTGGGCAACAGCTGCAAGATCTGTCTGCTGACTTGGGAGAACGTGATATATTAAATGATTTCTTGTTGCCAAACTGGTGGATCTTAGTTTCAGGTTTGGAGATGGTTCGTGGGAGTGGAATTTTATTTAATTAGGATTAGATTGTAAAAGTCAGTGTTGGTATTTGAATCTGACTGAAACTTGTTTTTGTTGGTTTCTGATGCAGTTCTTTTAATAGTAAATTTAAACTTTGAATCAATTAAGAGAGAGGGGGAAAGGAATGGTGATCATTTCCATGTGTTGTGTTTGGCAGCATGGGAACATTTGATATAGAAGTTTCAAGTAAAAAAGAAAAAGAAGCCTCATTTATTGGCAAACTAGAACTACTCAGAAGAGAGAGTGCACAGCTCTGTCAAGGCCCAACAGTCCCTCTGTGAAACCACTAACTCACTAGATCTGGATTTTTATTTGGATCTTCAAATCACACACACTCATAAATATCACTCTTCTAAATATGCCTATTTTTTCATCAAGATAAATTATTCTCTGAGGAACCAATGGAAATGTTGACAATGCCCAGATCTCACAGTGTTAAAGGTTCAGTGTGTAGAATTTAGTCATATCTAGTGTTGAAATTTCATGTTGAGCTGAACACCCCTCACCTCACCCTCCCCATCGAAACATGAAAAAGAACCCGTGGCAACCTTCAGTTTTCATAAAAACTCAAAAGGTGTTTAGTTTGTCCAGTCTGGACTACTGTAAAAAAAAATGGTGGCCTCCGTAGAGAGGACCCCCTCGATGTAAATATTTAAGCATTTAAATTTAAAGGACCTTTTCTGGGGTAAAGAAAACTGCAATGCATAGAATTTAGATGGAACTTACTAGTGAAAACATCATGAGGATAATTCTACATTAAAAATTTCACCTAAATCTTACACACTGGACCTTTAAAGAAAGTGGGGAGAGAAAAAAACAGATAAGCACCAGAATTAAATGGGTTTTTTTTCCTGACTCATACCGCATCCTTCACCAAGTTTCCTGATCATCCACCCAGTAGTTGTTGCATGAATCTGTTGCCGATGGTTACAAACAGATCTACCAAATATAAATGTTCACAAACCATAAAAAACCATAAAATATCTTTGAAGGAAAAAGAGTGATAGTCTACATATCAAGAATTTCTTCCACACAAAATAAAAAACATGCAAAAATTAATGTATGCAACGTTTAACGTTTGTAGGTTAATTGTCTTTTTCACTCAAATTCATTTGTAACTTGTTAGATATATTTCTTTATATTCTCTTGTGTTTCTGTTTTGTATTTCTTTGCCGGTGTGTCTTTGTGTTTGTGACTCCATGGTTCTTGTTATGGCTCCTCTCCGCCTGCAGGTGTCAGCAGAGCCTTATGTTCTGTGTTTTGAGCAGCAGAAGAAGAACGGGCTCGCTTGTACCCGGAAGCAGGAACAGGACTTGTCAAACCCTCCAACCTGTCGAGCCGGATTTGTCAACGCGGATTGTGTCGTGTTGGTTTCGAGGCAGAGACATTGCGACAGACTGGACTGTCCGAGTTTTCTCTGGTGTCTGGACACGATGAAGACGCTTTCCCTGCTCATCGCGGTGTCTCTGTGTTTGTGCTCGGTCTCAGGTGAGTGGAGTTTGGTTTCGATGGTTTTTCTTCCTCCTTCAGATTCACTCGTCAGAGAAATCCTTGGTTTAATCACCCGCGTAAGCTAATGGAGCTAATGTCGGACAGCAGCATCCTGACACTACGCAGACCGTGTGAGGTTAATCCAAGCACGGAGGCCTCTTTCACCATCAGTGATTAGTGGAGTTAACGCAACATCGGTTCGTTTGACAGTTTCCGTGATGTCACTGAATAGAAACTCCGGGAGCCCCCCCTCCCCCTTACTTACTTAAATACCATCTGAGTGAAAAGGAACGTAAAGAAAACCAAATGAGTGGAGCCGTTCATGTGGTTTGCTTTTATTTCCTGTTACAAAACTACAAACACACCAGTATATAGAACGACCCACACAGATAAAACATGCAAAACATAAAAAAATAAAATAAAATGAATGATCTAATTTAAATATTTCCAGTTTGAGGGGCAGGGAATCAAACTGCCAACCACATTCCTACCATACATTCCTCATAAAACCTTTCCCTCCAAGTTCCTACACCTCTGCTTAACTACATGCCAGGACTCTTATTGTGAAACCTGGCCTTACCTTTTAATTGGAGGGATTTTGGAGGACAACATATGTGTAAATAATGAATCTTCTAAAACTAGAATTTGACCCTCACCAAGATGTGGTCACAAGAGTAGTGAATAATGCATGTACGCACCTCAGTTGACATTGTGCTTTCCCGAACACCTTTTCACAGGACGCTTCTGTGCTTTGCCTGGTTACTATCCAGGGTTTGATCAGTGGTGTATGAACTTTGGGTAAACGATTCTGTGTGTTACATGGGTAGACCCAGGCTGTCATATTCAGAGTACATGTACACTCATGCAATTTAATAGAGTACACTGTTGTTACATTTACAAAGCTCAGTTTGATCAAAATGTCTGCTGTCCCGCTCTGCCCTCATCGTGCATGCGATTGTTTGATAAAATATTCAACTTCACAAAGCAGCCATGCATGCAATGTGCTCGGTTCTCGTCTAGTAGCATACCTTTTGTTTAACGTCATTCTCAAACGTCTTCTTGTCTACTCTTCTGAGTACCTGTCTTTTTTTTAAATAAATCAAGTCGTATACAAACTACATAAATGAGTGATGAATTAAAGGAGCAACATAAAACAACATTTGTCTTAGTAAAGTGTTGGAACACAACATGCTGCCAGAACAGCATCAGTGCATCTTAATGTTATACGTTCAAGTCTGTGGAACCGTGCTGGAGGGATGAATGATCGTGGTGTCCAACAAGATGGTTCAAAATCTGCTACAGGTCTGTGTAGAAATCTGGTGATTGCAAAAGCCGCACCATATAATTACATCTCACATTTATACTCTTCATACCATTTAGTGACTCCTCTTTCTATGAAGCCTGTCTGGAGCTGTCATATTACCAAGCTGTTTTGCAGCGTGCAGAGGCTACCTCCTTTGCACTGATGTCATGGCCTTCGTGTTATGCTTATTACCGCATATAATCCAGTCAGATAATCCAATAATCCAATAATCCAAGATAATTTGATAAAATGGGGGAAGCTGACAAGAACAAGACAACAGAGGACATTAATAATAAGGTGGGACAAATATTCAGTAGGTTACAGTTGGAAAATAGTTGAAGTAACGAAGTCAAGCAAGCAGAAAATGGCAGCATTTATTGCTTTTACTATTAGATTACTTTGTTGTCTGTGTTTTGTGTTTTCATGTGATTCTTAAAATATTCTTTGATTTACTTACAGCAATAAATGATGGGGCTGCTCTTACAGACACGATGAAACAAAACCCACCTGATCATCAACAAAGCAACATCAAATCGACAGCAGCTGAGGAGAATGCAAAGTTAACTGGTGTCACTGATGAGGAACATGAACATCAGGCACACGGCACTGACATTTCAACCAAGATGGAGAAACGTGAAGAGACGTCTGCAGACAACACTCAGTCCAAGACAAAACTGCCTGACACAAAAACACAAAGTCAGGAGGATGAAAACCAAAAAACGGACAAAAAGAAACCCAGTGATCCAACGTCTAAAGGCAAAGAGAAAACCAATGAAGGAGAGACAGGAGTGCAAGATGACAGCCCCACAAAAAAGTCTATCCTGAATGCCAAAAAAACATCAGATAATAATGGGGGGGGAAAAGGAGACAAAGAAATAAAACTAGAGGAAAATACAACTGATAAAAAAACAGAGAAAGGAGCAACTGATGAAAAACCAGAAGAAGTAGAAACTGATAAAAAACCAGGAAAAGTAGAAACTGATAAAAAAACAGATAAAGTAGAAACAGATAAAAAACCAGGAGAAGTAGACACTGATAAAAAACCAGATGAAGTAGACACTGATAAAAAACCAGATGAAGTAGACACAGATAAAAAACCAGGAGAAGTAGAAACTGATAAAAAACCAGGAGAAGTAGACACTGATAAAAAACCAGATGAAGTAGACACTGATAAAAAACCAGGAGAAGTTCACACTGATAAAAAACCAGGAGAAGTAGAAACTGATAAAAAACCAGATGAAGTAGAAAAAACAGGAGAGACCAGGAAGGAAGGTCTAGACAAAGAAAAAGATGGAAATAATGGAGAAAAAGAAGACAGACGTCAGTTCAACTTGCCTGGAATGGGGGACGGGACAGAGAGCAGTCATTTCTTTGCCTACCTTGTCTCTACAGCTGCACTGGTGGCAGTGCTTTACATCGCTTACCACAACAAGCGCAAGGTACTCGGCCCCTACATCATTTGTTTCCACTAAGACCACTCTGAAGTTACTTATACTGCATTTGGATCAACCATTGTGGCCTGTGTATTCTTTTTTCAACATCAGTAGATGTAATGGAATTTTATAAAACTAAAATATAGCACTAGCTCTGTTACAAAACTTGTAATTAGACCCCAACAGTTTCAACCAATGTGATATATACAGTATTTATTGTTTCTGGTTCACACTCGTTACACTAAGGAACATTGGGCATACAGGAAGTAAGCTGGGATGTCACCTATGTTATGTACACACAGATACACAGAAACTTTTGAAAATCTGCACTAAGAAGGCATTCGTAAAAATCTCAACGATAGTCTCAAATGCAGGGATGTATAAATTCACATTTTCTTTGAAGACTAGGCTTGCAGATTGAAACAAAAAATGTTCCGTCTCTGTTTTTTAGATAATTGCCTTTCTTCTGGAGGGAAATAGATCCAGATCCTCACGTCGACATAATTCAACAGAATACCACAAGCTGGAACAGGAGGTGAGTTGATGATATAACCTACCCACACTTTTCATTCTACCTCTCTAATCTACTGTCATCAACCAAGTTGTGATTTATGAATTCTCTGCATTGTCTTTCAGCTGTGACCTGATGTCATTCTTATGAGGCTTTTACCTGGAGCAGCTGTTTGCACTATGGGTTTTTTGAGTAGTGGGTGAGCGGACGTTGGATTAGATATTTTCTCGGGTGTACTCCGTGTTGATTTCACCTTGTGTTAATTGCTCTATTTTGTACCTTTTTTTTAGATGCTTAATGCATGACTATGCAGATTACATTGTTGCCTTATTGAGGGACGAAGTGAAATGCAGTGAAGGTTTGGAAAAAAAAAAAAAAAAAAAAGCATGTTGTTTTTGCACGAGCGTCGCTATTCTACTTTTGAGGCAATCATATAATTTGACCCGACTCAGGTTATTTCAGTAGCAGATAAAAAATGAGCTGTTTGGATTCCAGCCTTCTTTGTATAGTACATTAGTGATTGCACTGTGTACATAAATAAGCCATTTGAATCTTTGTAAAGTATCAGGTGTGTAAAATGTCTGTGCAGATGTTTTAGATGTCTCTTAGATAAAATGTAGAGGTTCAGTTCAGATGTATAAAAGTAACACAATGGGATTTCTGTACACAACCCTATGGTGTTGGCCCGATGAATGTAAAAGCAACCTTTATTTTCAGATGCTTGCACAGTTTTTGTCCACTTCAGCTTCTTAAAGGCTGATTTGCAAACATTCCAACAGATGAAAAAAAAGATCTTTGCTTCAAGTAATAGTTTCTTTTAAAAAAAATGCTCATTTGCTTTTTTTGCTGAAGGTGGGATGAAAAGATCAACACCTCTCTCATAGCTTCCTGGTAAATATAGCTCTAATACAGCTGCCTCTTAGCTTAGCATAAAGATGGAATTTCTGTGAGAGAAAGGAACACAATCTGCCTTCCAGGTCACTTGGTATATTTGTTTTGTTTACTCCAAACAAGAACTTATGTGTTTAAGGTGTTGCACTTTTACAAAAGGCCTTGTGTCAAGATCAATTAAGAAGTAGGGGGATTTATGCTAAGCTAAGCTAGCCCTCTGCTAGTTGGAGCTTCATCTTTAGTGAGCAGGCATGAGTGGTATCAATCTGCTCGTCTCGATCTTCAGAGGAAAATGATCAAGCAAATTTCCCAAAATTTTGAGCCAGTCGATTTAAATACAGGGAAGGAATTTAAGTTATAACTGCTGTCAGGGCGATGGGTTTTAATCAAAAAGGCGACTTGGAAGGAGAAACTAGCCAACAGTTGTATTGCTGTGCACTTTGGAAAAAAGATGCGTCTCTGGGGATATACAGGTTGACCACTAATACATTATATTTAAACTTTCCTCTTGAGTAGATTTGTGTTGATGTTTAAAGCTGACTTGTGCCAAATTACGTTTTATGTGAATCGGTGTGTGACTCTTGTAATGTGCCTGTTTCATAAATTAATACTGTGGTTTTTACTGGGTTGGTGGTCCTAGCCTATGGAAGGCCTGCTGTGTTGAAAGTATACATTCCCTGTTTTGTCTTGGCAGAATCAAAGTATGTCCCAGAAATATATTTTATTGTAAAATCTGCAAAGTTTGAATATGAGTCATTCTTCCATACAGTTTGGCCAAAACTTTAAATGTTTAATGACCTTACACAGCTAAATATCTTAAACATAAGGTTTATTTCATTTTGTTAGAAAAAAATCCTGCTGTCCTTTGAAATTTTTAATTTCTGAGCCAACTAAGAAGACTATAGATTCCAAAATAAATCCTATTTGTACTTTCGGGTCACAGATGAGTTGGATTCCTGAACTGCCTTCACTGTCACAGCTGCTTCACTAATTCAAGTTCTGACCATGTGTTTTAAGATATTTATTTGAATATAAGAACCAATACAATGGTGTATAAAAGTATCCAGTACAAGCAAAAACACCTGTGTCTATGGCTATATATTCCAAACATTTATATTTGTGGTATCAATGTACAATTTGTCATCCAAAGGGTTTTAAGAAAAAAGTAAGAGGTTATGAGATGATTGATGTGGTTGGAAAGAAGAACAAATTTCACTAGGGTTGGGAAATAAAATAATTATCAATAGATTTTTATCAATAGAAATTTAACTTAAGTTCATCATATACAAATATTTTGCTTATTGATTGTGCACAACAGGTTGTAATCATCTACTTCAGATTTGTAGAACGTTTTTTTTTAAAAGAGTAATCAGTGCTGACTGATGATGTTTTTATGCTGATAACACAATTTTAAAATTATAATTTGCCTTATTTGATCCTAAAACTGGTTTAATTTAAAATAAATGGATTAAGAAATTCTGTTCTAACTGATAACTCAGACATCCACAATGTTCTCAGTGTCCCCTGTTACTTTTCAGGGGTCAGAAAGCAAGAGGCGAGAAACCACTGTTCTTTTTCAGTATGTGTTGGTTTTAATAGAACATCATTGTGAAAGTTGTAAAACATCGTGTATTTATTTCCACACACACAGTATATGTACAGATTTTTACACACACAAAAGGTCCTCACAGTGGCGTCACATTCCTGGACTCTTCTTCGTAAATGTCTGGTATCTCTCCGATGGACGAGGCCACCATTCGGACGGAGTTGCACCCGCGAAGCACCATCTCATAGCGGATGAGCTGCTTCCAGAAGCCCGTGTTCGGCCTCACCATGGGTCTGCAGGTCCTCACGGTGCCGTGGGCCTCCAGGAGAGAGAGGCCGCGGTGCCGCATGAGGAAGGCGATGCACAGCGCGGAGGAGCGGCTCACGCCCGCGTTACAGTGCACCAGCGTGCGGCCTCCGCCGTCCGCTGTCTGCTGGATGATGTCCGACACCCGGTCAAAGTGATCGATGAGAGGGGACACCGGGGAGTCGGACAGCGGGATGTGGATGTGCTCCACCCCGGCAGCAGGAGGACAGCTCCACCTGGTCTCTGTAACACTGATGATACAAGTGATCTTACACCGACTGACCTGAGCGGAGTCTCGGGCCGCTCGGCCATTACTGAGGTAGAGGTGATCGGTGACCTGACACAGGCCCGACAGACCTGCGGGACCAGACGGACTCATAAACACAGATCCACCGCATGGGATCCACCCACACAGTCTATTGTCGTCTGTAGATCCACCGACGCTCTGTGATGAAACTGCGCGGGACAGTCTGGCACTGGTAAGGAAAGTCTGGACGGACAAACCCTGTGTACGCGCACACGTTGTCGCCCCCTGCTGGATGACTTTTATTCTCATTTCTTTTAATTAGAAACAGAAACACATTAGTGATTCATAAATTGACCTAGTTCCATTTCAGATGTTTAGTTTGACTGTTTTTTATTGATGCTATGCCAAACTATGAATAAAAAATATGCTAATATTTAAATAAAGGGAGCTCAACAATGATTAAGAACGACCATTCACACCCGGCAGCCAGATTCTCCACTACACTTGGCCTGTATCATGATCTTTTCCTCCAAACAAGCTCTTTATTACCCTGCAAAGAATTTCCTGATTCTCTGCCATCCACTTTGCTTCACTTTGGCAGCAGGAACACCAGCTGACCTGCTGCCATTATTGGCCAATGTCATGGTAAAAGATGAGCTTTGCAGATTTAAACCTAGCTGTGACGCAGAGGTTGAATTGTCGTCCCTGAGGTCGTGAAGTACACGTCAACATCTACTACAAACTCCATAGTGCAAACATTACTTTCCCTCTGACTGCCTCACATAGCATTGTATTCTCTGTCTTCAGGTCAGAATGAACAACACCACTGTCCTACAGGGTGTCTGCTACTGCAGAGACACACATGAATACAAAACCATTAAATAAAACAATAACAAAGAAGACATAGCTAAATTAAGCCTACTTAATCATCTGGCTGATTATAATACTTCCAATACAACTGATATATTGATCAAAGCCACAATGTATTTTTGGTCGTAGCTCACTGAGAGAAAGTTGTTTCCAACAGCATTTCACACACTGTCACGTATGTCTGTTGTCTTCAAACCTCTAAAAGAACTGAATCAGAGTGTTCAGTGATTCAAGCAATTTGATCTGTGAAGAGAATAGATGTCGCATTACGTAAGCGACATAGCCTGGTATTGTGTTTAATTCAATAACAGAAATGTGAGCAATAATATGTGAAAGACTCTGTTACTAAAACAGATGAACTACATCTCTTTACCAGACTCTCACATCCACTTCCATGTCAGAGGCCTCACCAAGTCCCAAACCAACACTGCGTCCATTTAGAGAGTATTTTGTTGTGCGTCGATGCAGCCTGTTTTGGGTGTTGTGATTCCACAGTTAAATGGCATGTAGCCCAGTGTATGATCATTAGCTGTTGTCATTGTGCCTCACTAACTTGTTAAATTCAGTTGTATATTGACATTATTTCAGCTTTTTAAAAATATGTCATTATTTCAGAGGTCAGTTTATTTATTTAGTTCATTCCATTATTCTGATGTCCACATAACAACACAGTATCATGATTTACTCATACACAAGATATCCCCAAATCACCTGGAATAACTCACTCTAATGTTCTTTCCTCTAGCACCACCCTCTGGCCAAAGAACACCATACAAAACTCCAAAGTATTGTAAAGGGAGAAATTAAAATATTATACATTATCTTTTAATATATATATATATATATATATATATATATATATATATATATATATATATGACAAAAGTCTTCACATGTTCATTACACACATTATATTGTTCTGCTATCTCCACACAAATTACTTCTTCATTTTCTTCTCGTTATTATTACTATTATTATTAAAACCCCTACACAACACTTTCAAGCTCTTCTCTTACAACATGAGGAGCATCACTGAGTCACAATGAAACTGTGATTGTAGTGTGTGTGTGTGTGTGTGTGTGTGTGTGTGTGTGTGTGTGTGTGTGTGTACAGATACCAGTGGATAATGAAGTTAAGACGTGAGTTATGTCACAGTGTGTCTCAGTAGAAGTGCAGCAGCAGCAGCAGCAGCAGCAGCACAGGGGTGTTGTTGCTGCTGCTGGTGGTGTTGGTGGCTGCAGGCGGTCGCTCCTCTGTTGCCCTGGAAACACAGATGGTGGATGAAGGGCGCGCATACAAAAGAGCGTAAAACCTGTGGCAGAGGCAGCAGCTGGAGAGCGAGAGAGCACCGGCTCATGCAGTCCTGTGCTCTCTCTCTCAGTGGTGGAGCACGTCTCTCTCTCTCTCTCTCGCTCTCTCTGTGACACCTTCCATCCATTTTCTTTGTCTCGGGGGTTTTCCGTTTCCACTTCTCCCTGTTTACCCAGGACTGGACCATCCCGTCAGTCAGTGCGCAGCTGCTGTTGGCACTCCCACATCCGCTGCTGTGGGCTCCACCGACACACAGACGACGCTCAGCCGCGGAACATGCTAGTGTGTGTGTGCGAACAGTCGCCTTTCACTGCACACACGCACACAGATTTGCGTGTGTTTGCGTGTTACACCGCTCCTTTTTTTGCCAGGATGGAAAACAGAAGAAGAGAAGGAAGATGTGGTTTCTTTTTCACCGTGATGCTGCAGGACAGGTGCGTGATGAATTTGGTAATCATGTAGGAGAATGAAAATAACCCTGTGGTTCATTTTACTTCTCTTCTTTTTTTTAAATTCACCATTTTCTTTATTGTGCTTAATATCAAAGTTTATCATATTGGAGGATTTCAGTCCCCTGATTGGATAAACATTTACTCATTTACCCTCCTGCAGCAGAGGGCCTGGTGTGAGGAGAATGTCTTGTCTCACCCTTGGGGGGGTTTATGAATATTAAATTGTTTTTTTATGGAAAAACAATCTGTGGTGGAATCATGCCATGTTTAGATATACGATCTGTTAAATCTAGTTGCTGTAGGCAGTCGTAGGCTACAGCTTAGCCTACATAGGCTTTCATCAAATAGATTGTGTTCTTTTAGCATATAGCATGGGCTGCAGCTGCGGTGACCTATTTTTGTACCTTATAGCCATAGTCTGAAGTTGTATTCTTATGTGAAAATATGTAATTTTTAGTTTCTGGGTCAATATAAGGCAACTTAGCAAAAAATGTGATGGAAAAAGCATAGAAGAACTACAGATGTCTACGATCAGCTATGGTCCAAACACTCATTCTTTATGCTTTTACTTATTTAGGTAACCTTGTGGACGCTGCTGCACGGACATGACGCTGTATTTATCTGCGGAGCTGCCGACAGGTCACCTTTCAGGACGCCAGGAGGATCCACATGGGAACCAACAGCATGACAGGTTATGTGTACTGGCTGGATTATCTTTATTCACATCATGAGGGAAGTTAATCACAGGCACATTCACAGGAGACTTTAATGGCAACTCTGTCAAATCAGTAAGATAAATGAGATCAATTAAACCTATTTCAAGTGATACATCATTTAAGATTGGGTGTATTTCATCCCTGTTGTCTGTAAATAAAAGGGAGAAATGAGAGAAGAGCCATTCCCTGGGGTAACATAGGAAGACAGTTGGGTTGCGTCCCACTTTTCTGCTGCTTTGTGTTGTGTGTTCTTCTCCAGTTACACTGAAGAAAGAACAGATCGGGACTCACCCTGGACCTCATTGTTAACCTGGCGACATTGCACCCCCCCCCCCTCTGCTGTGCTGCAAACCAAAAAGACTGGTAAATGATCTCCAGGTATATTTACACCACAGTGACTTTTATTCCCCTGTTTTATTTCACTTTACAGCGTGACTTGTTATATAAGGGTTTTGGATGAATATAAACCGCAGAGCCCATTTCTATGGAATCTTATCTTGGTTTTGCCCACATACAGTGTGTGTCCCTCCCTGTGTATATATGTGTGTTAAGCCCCTGTGCTGGCTGAGAGTGCAGATAAATGGGGAACAGATGGAACATGAGAGATTAGTTATGTGTTAAATTGCTGCCATATTTTCTGCTATATGCCACTCTCCTTTCCAGGATTATGGTTAAGAGTGGAGATAAACCAACCTAAAAGTGTAGACCATGACCAAATCAGATTAGCATAATCTACTTTTCAGATTCGTTTATGCGACATTATGCAGGATTATCCTGTAAAAAAGTGTTTGCATATTTGTAAGACTGCAGCAGAAATGTGTCTTTTAAAGCACGTCTTGTAGGAGTAGTCCACAGGAATGTGAAGCACATCAGTGTTCACTTTCTTCCTTCTTCATTTCATCGTGACTGTAACAGTGTCACTTTTCCCACAGTGATCGATGCACGATGCCACCACTGCTCTCCTGCACCTTCAGACGGAGAGGATCCATGTTGGAGTGTTCCCCCCACTGACAGAAAATCTCTGCCACCTTTGTGCATCAGTGAACGCAACTTTGAAGAGTTAAAAAAAATGCCACCGCTCGTTGGTGTAGTCAGTGTGAGCATGATCAGATTAAGCAGGAAGGTATTTCATATGAAAAATTGTTTTGCTGGAGCGTTGAGGTTTTTTTTGTCACCCCTCGATCGTCTGTATTTGTCCCCCCTCATCCCCTGCTGTGAGTAATACCAAGTACAGCTTCATCCGCCCCCGCTCTCACTTCTGGCTGATCACTGCAGCGATCGAACGCGTCACGCTCGCTTTCTTCAGCTGCCATGTGCAGTGACCTCTTCCCGCTGTTACCTTGGTTACTCTGTCTAACGCTGTAGTCGCTTCTCACCCATGTGGGAGACACTTTTAACAACAGTGCTGTCCTGTGTGTCTTCTCAACAAAGCAAGCATGTCTCTGTGCCAGATCCAGAATATATTTTAATACATTAATAATATTCTTAGTGTGTGAGAATGGTTTTCACACATTTTACAAAGTGTAATTAACACAGTATGTCATTGTTTGTCTTGAATCCTTTTAAGTTGAGTTACTTTACACAGACGTTTTTTTTACTGTCAGAGTGGGTGTGTTTGTGTGTCTGTGTGAGTGCACTTGTGTGTACGCATGTGCTCTAATCAGGTTTGTGTGTGTTCATCCTCGTAACTGTGCATGTGTGTTTGTCTGTCTGATATTTGTACTGGGCCTGAAACTATAAACTGCTTTACTGTGATTTCCCCATAGCTGAAAACCTTCTTTACCAAAAAAGCCACTGGATGTAACAGAGAAGGGATAAAAAAATATTTACAAATGATTCTTAGCATTTGTTACCATCTCATTGAAGAACCAGTGATTGTGATTTAGATAATCACAAGAATGCTGCTGGAAATTAATGGTGTGTAGTTTTCTAAACGACGCCTGCTGGCATTAATTACACTGCTCGGATGCCTGCAGCCCCGTCATCTGATGCTTAAGCAAATGACATCAAATGCTAATAATTATGTGCAAATAGCTTTTTACCCAGGTCTGGATCGTACTACTAACAGTATCTCACTAATATCTAACAGTACTAATGTGTGCTAATGAAGATTACTAACCTGTCCTCTGAATGCTGATGGCTGGCCTGGTTCCTCTCTAACCCACTGACTAACCCTCTGCTTTATACATACACACTCCTCTCTCATGATCCTGCAATCCTTCTACAGATGGTCACCTTCAGATGAATTATTAATGAAAAAAAAAATAATCAAAAAACCGTTAAAGTGAGCGAGTCAAGAAGGGTTTCAGGACATGGGAAGGGAAATGTTATTAACCACGAAATGATAAGAGGAGCAGACGCAGCTGCTGGTATAGAATGGGTTGACCACACACCTAACTGAAGCTGACTCTCATCTGATTCCACTGGATTTGTCACTGGTTATTCACTGTGAAGGCTGAATTCAAACATTCAGAGAGCAGCTTCGTGTCTGTGACTGTGTGGTCAACCTGTGCAGGTGAGTGTCTGGCTTGTTGTGCAGTGACACACACAAGGCAAGCTAACCTCAGCTCCACTACTAACTCCTTATGGTGTTGATACTAACAATGGCGAGGGTGTAAAGACCCGCCTGACGCTCTTACTAACACCTGTTCTCCCTGACTGAAACTCTTTCAGTCCTGATGTCTCCTTCTTAATTTCTTTTATCAGATCAGATCTATATTAGCACCAGGGATGTTCTTAAAATCACATTGCATGGAAACATTTATCCTAAATATCCTCTGTGGTGTCATGATTTAGTGCAGTGAGCCGTATGACTAAAAACTACGAGTCCTGATGACTGAGCTCAGCAAGAGTTGTTACTAACATCACCTAAAGTTAACAGTTACTAACCCGAAGAGCGTTTTAACAGCTCTCTGCAAACTAACAAACTAACCCACTAATAAACTAATGATCTAACAAAAACAACAACTAAATTTACTAACTCACTTTGTGATGAGAGTTAGTGAAGCAGCCTGATTTTCAGGAGTTGCATTATTTATTGAATGTACTAACAGAGTTAATAATTTATGAATTCATGACAGGATTGAATGTGCCTGTGTGTGTGTGTGTGTGTGTGTGTGTGTAAGCGTGAGCGCAGAAGAGCATGTGAGTGTGTGTGTGTGCGCAGAATGTGAAATGTAACCATATTCATCAGAACCAAATGTTTCCAGTATTAATCTTTCAAACAAAGTGAGCGTTAAGATGCCTCTAAATCTCAGTTATAACAATCAGCCTGTGCATGTGAATGCATCATGGCATGTAAAGAAAAATGAGTTCAATGTATACAAATATTTTTATACCTTATTGCTAATGCATCAGTTGTCTTATGATAAACCTTTGTAATAAACACGTATAAACAAAACATGTTTTTTTCCTTTATATTGTCTCTATTATAACTGCAACCACCTAAGTGTAATGCAAAAGGTCCCGTGCAGCCAAATATTCCACCAGAACAACATCCTCACTCCTGATTGCTTCATCATCCGGACACATGATTACTGCCCCCCCCCCCCACACACAGACACACACATGGAAAGGGCTTGTGTCAGACACTAAACCTTTAACAACAGCAATACTCTCATACTGATAACAAGGATTGTGTCATTGAAAAAATTTAATTTGTCTGTATCTAAGTTTGATCTCGGAACCTCTTGGGTCTTGAGTGAGATTCTTCCAAGTAAGAGGTTCTGTCTTTTGTGACATACACATATATCTGGATACATTGATATTTAAATGAACTGGTAAGAGTGGTAAGAGTTTGAGGGTTTGTTCATGTTTACAATTGATGCAGTTACATGTGTCAACGCTGAATCAATCTATTTAAACTTTTAAAAAATAATTTTGTCCTGGTTCGTATGGCTTCACATCACTAGGATGAGTTTAGATTTGTCATGGATGCATTGTGACAGCAGGGGGCAGCAACTCATCACGATTTGATATTGTTTTGGTGCAATATGAGCTCTTCTTGCTTATTGGATTTTCTGCAGCTGCTGGAAAAAGGTTTGCACCGGTGTCACGCTCTCATACTGTTTTGTTCAAATTGAATGTTGATGGTTAAAACTACCCATTAGTTTAAGCCACATAGGTGACTTTCAAAATAAAAGTATGACACATGATGGTCGTTTATTTGCATCCCTTGTCTGTTGAGATACAAGGGTCAAAGGTCACAAGCAGAGCATAAAGTGTCCAATAACATTTGAGTCACCAAAGTTTGTACAGCCATAACCAATAAAACCTACTGATGTATTTATTACAAGTACTTTTTCTCTTTCTCGTGAATAATTTTGACTCTGGTTGTTATGCTCCAACTAAATGTCAATCATTTAGTATAACACACACACACACACACACACACACACACACACCTCAGTGAACCTTCATCCTTCGCTTGTGTAAGACAGACGAGGGTCTACTCTGCACTGCCCCTCATTTAAGCTCGATATGATCCAGATGAGGGGGGGGGGGTTCCGAAGGAGTGCAGGGCTTCATGGGTCAGCTGTAATTCACCACAGAGCTCAGAGAGCAGAGTCTTAACACCCACAAAACCCTTCACAGTACAGTGAGGCTCCACTTAACGTCTTAAATATCACACAAACTCCAGTTCAAAGGGATGTTTGTTGGGATGAAAAACATTAATCGGCTTAATGATGTTCTCCGGTGGATGGTTAGTTTTGAAAACACACCAATGCTCTACAGGGACGAGGATGCCACAGAGATATTTGTGGCCTAGATAGAGACTCGAAGATGTGAAAAAAATGTGACAAGAAATATTTTCACAATTAGGCTATCGTCTCGGAAATTTTAAGAGCGTCCTTGAGTGAAATGAGGAATCTCTGAGCACAGTACACGTGTGTGTGTGTTTATGTGTGTGATCCAGCTCTGTGTAAACAGAGCCTCCATCACAGGCAGGACGTCTACTGGAATAGTAGCTCACTGCCTCCAGTGGAATTTGTCTGTAAGCTGTAAAAGATGGGGAAGGACAAGAAGAAAAAACCTTCATGGGAAGTATTTCTCTCTGCAGCGGTGTCGGCAGATGTTATTCATTTGAAGAGAATCACATTTATTTACATGCACTGTATGAATGTTTGTGTGAACGGCTGAATTGCAAAACTGCAGTGTAAAGAGCTTTGAGTAGTCATCAAGACCAGAAAAGTGCAAGAAAATACAGACAACATTTTTACATTTTATTTTTGTTCACAGATTTACATGAAAAAAAACATCTTGTAACACACACAGTCCACCAGGAAGTGCAGGACAAGCTAATCATATATCCTGCTCATATGAAAAAGTGCAAAACATGAAAAAACACCATTATACACATTTATTTAGTTGTGCTGTCCAGACAGACAGAACCAGGAAGTGGCTCTGCAGCACACTGACTAATATTCAGTGGCATCACCTGCAGCTTTCTTGTCTGTCCAGAGTCTGTGTTGTTCTTGTATTGAATATGCAGTATATGCAGTATAGGCACAGTTTTCAATGTATTTTAATTTGAATAAAGTGAAATATCAGAGTACTTCATCCACTGCTGGATATATTTGTCCAATCAGGTAGCTCCACATAAAGACTCTTGGTATGTGGCCACTGTGATGTGGTGAGATTGTAATTCTCCCTTTTGGAAGGACAGCTGAGATGTGGTGATGGCAGTTCAATTGTTAACTTGTCAACCTTCTGTAGGACTCATCAGCCTGGTCTCCCTGATACGTCTACTATTGGGGATAAATATTTCTGCTTAAGACGTCAGTGTCTCTAGAAAATAATTTCATTCCTTCTCACTGCAAGACAGAGCCATGAAACCTGTGTCTATATTCAGAAAGACACACACACTTCAGCAGCGCCCGGCCCTGCAGAGTTTAAAATAGTAAATCCCCTCAAAGGCAGTTCAAGGCCTGAATAAAGATTTCTCTCCCTGCAGGTGTGTGTGTTTATATGTGTTTCTGCCTCCTAGTTAGAATGAAGGCGAGAGCAAATGACATGGTTGAGATTCTCTACTTTTAGGGGGCATGTCTTATTTAGGCCTGCTGTGTGCTCAGTGCTGTTAAAATTATCTTATGAACAGAGGATATGGGTGTTTTTATTATTATTTTTACTATGCAATACAGCGTTGCAAAATATCAACTGTAAGCATTTTTACAAATGCCACTGAACGCCTCAGTAAATAATAAAATGCCAGAATTGTATCTCACAAAACATGTATCCTACTAAAAGTTGTGTCACTTCTTGTAGACCGCACAATGTTGAATTTAGGAATGTTGATTTCCTAAAAATTTATTCTTACAACAAAACGAAGTTTCTTTTATTTTCATTAAAAAAGATGTTGCATATTTCTCCATGCATCATAAAATTAGCTCTTGCAGTCTTCGACATAACAAAAGCACACAGGACTTGTGGCCGGTTCTCATATTATTTTGGGCCCCACTACAAGTATGGGAGGGAAGGGATGTGGAGAGCAGCAGAATTTGGGTCAAGGGTTGCAGCTCTTTAAATGTACAATAGTGGCTTTAAACATGAGGGCAGGGGGAGTTCACGAAAATGGTTTGCAGACTTTTAAAACATTGAAAGAAGTGGGAAATGTTGCTAATTTCTATGAACAGGGCGATCTTTGTTTTCAGCAAGGTGCAGGTTCTTCAGACTGACAGAAGATCCCTGGACTGACCTGACGCTAGCAACACAATGTGCATGTTGTATTTTGGAAAATCTGACAGCACAGGTTTTTCTTGAAAAATGACCTTCAAACTTGTATTACAGTTTTGTGGAATATTTTACTGCAGCTATTTTCTTCTCCGCTGTTTCTTGCGTCACATCCTTCCCCCCTTTTGTGCTTCTAAACTTTAAAATCATCTTCCATTAAACTATTTAAACACAGATCGGGCTTCCATTAAACTATTTGACACATGATCCACTTGGTCACACTATTTCCTCCTCGCTTCTGTGTCATTCCTCCAAACACTGAGTCCTGTTAATGGTGTGAAAATTGTGATATTAAGTCAGAGACCCTGTGCTTCCTAAATGTCTTTCTTTTCCCCGCCTGCAGCCAACATCCAGAGAGCAGATAAGCGGACAGTCGAAGAGGGCCAATCTGTCCTGCTGGACGGTAAATGATGGACAGTAATTAAAAGTTAGCTAATAACCTCTTCACACCTGACATTTCAACAGGGAGGTCTTGGACACCATTATCTACATATAGATTAAACAGTATAATTGGCAGGGAGATAGGGTTAGGAGGATTGCGAGAGGAAAAGGAGCGAGAGAGAGAGAAAGGCCAGGCCATCGCCAAACCATTAAGCAGAATATCTGAGTGACACTGATTTTTCTCCTCTTGCTAATGCGACAGGAATTGAGCTGAACTAAAATGCTAAATGAATGAAGCCTATCTCGGCGTGGTTATTACCAGGGCAAACATCGGCCATGGAAAATAGCTTTAATTTCATAATAATTGCTGGATGGACGTGACTCGTTTGAGACACAATGTGAGAGTGAAAAGTGAGGGAGAGAGAAGGGAGGAGGAGGAGGAGGAGGATGGGAGAAGTAGTTGGCTGCATTATTTCTGCCTCCACACACTGAAATTTACACAAACTCATTGATAAGTAACACTGTGGACTGATGAGAAAGAAATTAGTTGATTATGTAAATCCAAAATTTAGAACAAACACTAACAGAGCTTAACAATTGCATGGTTCCTGCAGGTTTGTACCAAACAAGAAAGTGGCATTACACCATCATCACATAATAATATTCAAAAAGCCTGGTGGCTTCATGAATGAACGTGCAGTTTAAAAAACCACTCGGTGGAAACTGCTGGCATGTTGAGATTGATACCACACTGTCAAGCTGAAACCAGCAGCCTAGCTTAACTCAAACACTGGAGGCAAAGGGAAACAGCTAGCCTGCCTGTCAAAACATAACAGCACGTCTAACCAGATCACTGCTGCACTTATAAACAAAGAAAACTAGAGCATCACTCAATAGAGTTCATACCTCCCACAAGGCCCAACAGTCCCCTTATGAAACCACATTTAAATTCACTAGATCCGGTATTTTATTCTGATCTGCACTAAATTGCACACACTCATAAATATCAACCCACTAAAAATACCAGATTTTTTTCATTAAGATCCATTAATCATTCCCTGAGAAATCAAGGAACATGTTGAAAAGGAATCCATTGCAAAACAAGGAGTAGATCTTTCATAACAGGAGAAGTTGAACAGATGGAAACACATAGTGTTGTTTCTGAACAGTGTTCACACAACACCTCTATCACAGAGGATGAGACGCTCTTAAAGTTGAAGAGAACTCTCTGAGAAACAACTATCTGTCTTATGCTTCCCCCAACAATAAATCAAGTTG